GCTGTCCGTTAACGACGCGGAAGTTATCACGATAAGGCTGAGTTGGCGAAAAACTCGGGATCTGAGCAGTACTCGAACTTGTGCCGTACGTTGCCCAAAAGAACTTAGTGAATTTGTTTCCCATTTCCCCACAAGATCTGCCTTCTCAGCTTATGACCACTGATCATACTGTCTGCAGTAACGAGCCCTCTCATCAATACAGATTCAATCTAACCGATTTCAAACATAATGGCTATACAAGATACCTTTTGACCTTCCCCCCCGGGATGTTCTTTGGAAAAAGTTTTTTTTGAAAAAAAAAACGAAAAAATGGTAGAAAGCTGGGAATTAAGGAAGATGGTAAATATTATGACGGATGGGTAAGGGCGTCGAATCAGAAGACAAAGTCTTGAGGGAGGGGTCGTTCTTCACAACGAATTTCCCTAACGGAAGATGCACGATATCTACGATATGACTACTTCGCTGGTTCTTCATAATGATACTACTGCCTTGAATTCGAGGTCAGACCACCGTAAAGGCAGTGAAGGAAGCGATAGTTTGTACTTCTCAGCGATGCGTTCCGATCGGCTGCGCTTTATCCGCGAGTAAAAAAATCAGTTCGTTCGGAAAACCTATACGCCAGTGCGACCTGCGCCTTCGACACCCACAACGGATTAGGCATTTGATAGTATAATTGCATCGGATAAGACCCTATAAATTAGCATAAGCCTTTCATTCAGCATACCCTTCAGTTCTTCCCTGCTAGCACGGGCCAGACGGTTGATATTTTTTACCGCAGCCTGCCGAGCAGTCATTGATCCTAGCAGTGTTTCCATCCTATAAAAGATCATTTGAAGACGTTGTTCCGAGTTTTTGGACTAATAAGATACCTTCTATAGATATTGAATATTACATGAAAGACCAATACTGCTATAGTAGCCAATGTCCAGTTCCCTAAAAACATCTTTTTCCAACCAGTAGGTTGCATACACTTCGTAGAACAGCGGTATAGAAAATGCCCACAAATCATACTCAACCGTGGAGAATACACTCGTATTTCACCCGGAAGGCGTGATGTGCGGGTTAAGATCCCGCTTGGGGTCAGAAGTTTTGCCCATACTCAGCATTTCATCAGGTAGCACTCACCAGATATGGTGAAGACGATGCCATAGACAAGCACAATCAGGGCTATGGAAAGCTCGAAAACCTTAGTCACCATTCGTGTCCAGAACATCAGATCGTCGCTGTGTTCCCACGGTTCCGTCGAACGCGACTAAATAGTTTTAAAATTCTAGCGGACTATTCCCCTGCACTGAAAATGCTATTTGAACAGAAAAAGGACCTCAATCATTCCAATGGCATACTGAACAGTTGAGGATGCCGCATGTATAGTTGTTAGCACACAATTAGACACAATAATAACACACCTGCAAGACTTCAAAACATTATAAACACTCAAGCAGATCGTTCAAGTTGTGATGTATTCTGCCAAAGAGGTTGATAGGTGGAAGACTTTATTAAACTTGGCCTGACGTTTCGACGGGATCGTCGTCCTCAGAGGCCTAAACATAGCTCAAGGTTTAAGTGTTGCACCCTCTACACCACCAAACGCCTCGATACACCACCCAACGCCTCGACACCCTAGCGTTTTTGGCGGAATCCTAGGAGAACTGCCAAAAGAAGATGAAAGAGAGAAACCTTCAAAACGAGTGGGTGATTATCATGATAGCCGCACATAGCACTGACCTTCATATTTGTGCGAATGAAAAGTGGCGTCGGTGCCGGCTGCTTCATACACCGCGTGGAATAGCAGAAGCTGGACAGCTCAACAGATAGCAACAACAATTCAGAATTTCTTACAGCAGTACAACGGTGTGTCCCCATCCCCATACTACCCTTTATCTGCCAAAATTTCCTAAATCTTATCACCTTTCCAGAATTTTTTCCAGAAAAGTAAGTGCCTCTAAAATTCCCAAAAAAACCCCGTCGAGCTATTGAGGATGGGAGGTGTGGGGAGGCTCCTAGGTGGCATTAGGGCATCTGACAAGGGAAAACCGTAGGGAAACTCAACAACGAAACGTTTCTCTTAAAGGCAAATACGACCCATCCCCTTCTGGTTGGAAATCCCCAACCACCACAAGCCCTGTTGATGGAATACGTTCACGAAGCTAGGAGCAAGACCACTTTTTGAGAAATAGTTGCAAGTTATTCTCCTTTAAAGGGAAATATCTCTGACATACCACAAATCAATTGGCAGAAAAGCTGTTATGGCACAAGCCATAGTGATCGGTGCCACGAAAAGATGTGCTGCAAGTAGCAAACATCGAATATGCCGGCCGCGAGATGCTGATGGAGAAGCAGCCAAAGATAACAACTGAGGCTCAAGCAACTCGTATAACGACTGTAGTAGTGCTGACATCACTGAAAGCAAAGGGAAAATCAGACTTCGTGAAAAAAGAGCAAGCCGAGGAAGATGTTGCTAGAGGTGAATTATCATCGACTAAATGAAAAATGTTACTCACCAATGAACAAGACAAGGCCGAGCAAGAAAGCTTTTTGTTCAGTTTTCATGCCGAGCAATCCAGTCTGCAGACATAACAGGACAAGCGTCAATGCTTCAGTATACCTAAACCATTCGAATCAAATGCGAACTATATAATAAACCTATCAAAATTCAAATGCGACTTGAACAAAATTCAAATGCGTTTGTTGTCTTTTATGCTGACGACGAAAATGATGAGCAAATTTTTGTCACTGATGGCCTGAAGTCCCGTCCAGATCGTCGTCATCATAGGCCAGAAAGTGGTCCAAGATTTCAGGTAGAATTGTTAAACTACCGAACGCCGCATCTCCATATATGACTCAAATTTGTGTCACGTGTTCGACTTATTAGGATGACGGCAGACTGATTGCAACTTCAAATCTCAAGCAGAAAGTTTCACCCAACAGCCTTGCTGCCACAAAAGAAGCAATTCTACGGCTATTCGAAGCTGAACTTGGAGACCTTCCCACGTAACTATTTATGAAAAATACTTGAGGGTTTGTACAACTAACCCTGAATGAGCAAGCACATGTCCGTGATCGCGACGTCCACCGATGACCACTTGAGCGCCATCGACAACCCATTTACACACGAAAGAAACCGTCAAAGCAAGAGCAAGTAAAGAAATTGGTGTGTTGGTGCTCTCCGCAATACTAGCAAGTAATGCTGGACCTGCTTCTCGCCATGTTCTTCCCTGAAAATAATCTTCTACGAAAGAGTAATTAGTATGAAGCCCACATTATCTACATACCTTCTCCCAAATCTCAACATACATACGGATCACAAACATTGTCAACCATGCGCATGTCATCAACTCAGCGATACGAAGGCGGCGCCATACAGTAACAAAACCTATAGAAGAAATAAGTCAGAAAAACTGGGAAATATTGTGAATTTAGTACACTTCCTTTTACCTCACTAACTTTATAATGGTGAAGCCACTTATTTTCATGGCAAATACACCTTCGATGGAACAGCAGAAAGGACTCTTTTGAATATTAAAACTGGTTTGATACGGAAGCCCTTGATCGGCTAAGAACTCCTTCCCCAACCACCATCATTCACTGCATTGTCCGACCTTTCCACCACTTCCCCAGTTTTTTTTTTGTAAAACCTATACTGCCCCTCCCCCCCCCCTCTCCCCTCCGCTCCCTTCCCTTTCTACCCTTTGATAAGTCAGTAGGGTAGAGGGGAGTGAGGGGCACAGCGCACACACGTGAAACGGGACTAACTGTGAAAAGTCAATCACCGAAAACATTTTTCGCAAATGCAAACATAATCCCCTTACTGGATCTCCGACCCAACCTTACTGAAGATTGGGGTTCTTCGAAACACGGGTCAAACAAAACGTTATCACCATCACCATGATAAGCCAGTAGGGCAAGCAAGTCAAAACAGCCTTAACAGTAAATCCAGTGTTCCCCTCCAAAAAATACAGCTCCTTCGAAAGAATATTGAATTGAGAAGAGCGGCGAATTGAGAAGAATTGAGAAACAAGCTAACAAAGAGAATCGTACTGAGTTTTGATATAATATAACCTATGCGGGTCATACTAATTAGGGGGAAAAATCGCTAACCAGGAAAGGTCAACAGGTCAGCCCGGCTATTTCCGATGAGGTGCACACCGTTCTACGAGTCTTGGGACGGTGAACTCGAATCTACTTCAGAATTTGCGGCACGATATCTTCTGACTGAAGATTGATGGAGGGTTTTATTGTCCCGCGAGCTTAGTTTCACATGCCATCAGACGAAACGTGGAAGCGCCTTATATACAAGAATGGATTCAAACCTGAACACGTGGGCGAGATAGCGAGCGGGTTTACTAGGCGAGAGACACGTCGTAGGATGAGTTCTCGGCAGGGTGCCATTTTTTGCATTTGTCCAAGAACATGGCCGACAAAGCTTCTAACATCTCTGCTCGCCTGCACTATCCTGTAAGGAAACTGCGACCAGTTTTTTTTTCGAAAGTGTAGACCCATTATGGCCTGAGTGCTCGTGTTTGTTCCCCCCCCCCGTAGCACATGTCACAGGGGTTTTTGCAATGAAATACCATCGTATTCCAGCGTCAGCGGGTTAAATTACCCCTGGGGACAAGTTTCTAGCCGAATCTGATATTTCGACCTAACTTGGAAAATGTGAGTTATTCCATGGGTAATTAGCAGCAGTTTGGAGCTCACCTACCATCGATGACTGGTCTCGGAATGGAATTTTCCCCAGTAATCAGGAAAATGATGCAGACGGCACGAATAAATAAGCTAGGTGTTCTGTGCCTGAAGACATGACTGAAGAGTTATTTCAGTTCGAAGACCAGTCATCACCAGTATGCTAGTCATAGTATCGCTGTTAGCTATCAGTCAGCCATGACTATCATACCCCATTTTTTCGAAGTTGCAGAACTAGATTTCCGCATAGGTGACATTCTTTGCGGGGGGCTTATTTGACCCCTGAACACGGATATGATAAGCCTATTCCTGCGCGAGAGAGTGCTTGTGATCGCACTACAGGGTCAACGATTCGCGCGCAGCTGCGCCTGGCAAAGAAGAAAAACAGTAAGAAAATTTTCCATAACTCCGCTCAGAGAATCGTTTCCGCAAATTTTAAAGATATAGTTTCGAGTTCACCGTGTCAAGATGAGTACAATGTTAAAATTAAATAATTTTGGCTTGCTCCAGCCAAAAGCATTCTCGACTACTTACACGAGCTAACAACGGACAAGAACAAAAATTGCCTTGACCTTGCCGGAACGCTGTTCGCATTCCGTGAACCATATCTGGCACACGGTTTAAAACATATATGCAGATAAACAACATCACCAGTGAACACGCGACATTATGAGCTGAAAAACGTAGAATGTGCTAGCATTAGGTGCTGGATACTGTTAGCGACCATTAAAATTCAAGCATCCTCATCAAACTATTGGTTGCGCGAAAGCTTTCTGTCATTTTTCGAAGCTCACAAATATATGCCCATTATCTGAAGAGGAGCGTGAACGGTAATGTGAGCACTACAGGTCTTTCTATTGGTGTCACTCGTCTGATTCCCGCTTCTTCTTCTTCTTATCCGCTACCATCGCCACCGACTCCCTCCAAATGCTTCCGATAGAGCGGCGCACTTACAAAAGCTATAGCGCGTTTCCTCGTGGCAATAGAGCTGATGGATTAACGTTGCAGGTGGGTGCTGGTAAGCCACGGACATTGCTCCTTCTAAATGCGAGTTGCCTCCCGTAATCAATCATTACTGGACGAGAAATTACGAGAAAACCTCGAAAAGTCTGAGTTCAAGCCAAGATTGAGATGATGTCCAACTTTGTATCGCGCCTCCCTGCATTGTGAAGCGATGGCATCCATGAGGTGCTCAAAAGGCAAGGACCCCGCAGTAACATTGTTACACGATTTTGATCATTCCTCTCTATAAAAAGAACCTAATGTTGAAAAAAAAATTGCAGAACTTCCGCGCAACGTTGCATAAGTAAGGAGCGCCGCAGTAGTTATTGTAAACTTGAGCACAGCCTTTTATTTCCACAGAAAAGCTGTAAAATTGTTCACGACTACCGCCTTCAAAAAAGGAATCGCACTTTTTAAAATTACAAAAATTGTCGATTTCAAGCTTGACATATCCCAGAATTAGTTTTCTAAAGGGGAACCCACACATTTCGTGCTACAATAGGAAGAGTGAATACTGTGAGAAAAGCTCGGCCCACATCACTTTCCAGGCCGAGAACACAACTCTGCACCACGCTCAGCATAAGCTATAAAATCAACAGATCATTAGTGGAAGGCTTAGAGCGCCTTCATACTTCGCGATCCCATCGCTTGGATCGCGTTAGCGACTGGATGGCGCGAGTGTAACGTTTGAACGCGCTTGAAGTATGAACGCTTTCCCACGTGGATAAACAGTACTTACCTGGGCCAAAAAGTGAAATCCATGCCTTTCCAGCTTGACGAAATCGTCAAGTTTCAGCTCTTTATCCTCGCTGTTCTGTTCAAGATTCACATATGTCGTTGACATATAGTGTGCAAAGGCAAATATCAATAAACTGAAGCCATGCGTGTACAATTTGAATAGCCTCGACAACGGTAGTGTTAGGAACATGGCGCTTAGAAATAATACTGAAATTTTCTGAACATAGAAGCACATTAAATAAAAAACACTTGGAATTCGCCAATAAAATGATGCTTCTTGGCATTGAAACCGACTTTTTGCGCAGCTCAGAATTTTGAGTCTGTCACAAGACAATCGTGACATACGCTGGTGGTGGTTGCGTGCCGTCTAAACCTGAGCGTCAGATGGACGGGAAAATTCGATACTTCTTGCGAGCTCATGCAAGTTTCACTGCTAATTGGCAAAGTGATAAGTTTCCGCGCATCGCTGCACGATACGCCCGCACGACGGCGCGACAAATTACGATTGTCTTGTCCGAAACTTCCAACATCAGTTCTACATCCATTTTCTTCGATTCAACTCTTTTGTCATCAGGTTGCCCAGAAGGAAAGTTGTGCCACGTGTACAAAATATTTTTTTGTAAATTTGCGTTTTTGTCGCTTGTTCAACTTGATGGGAAAGCATGCTGTGCTTGAGCGATTATCCAATCGTACCGAAGAGATAATGGTAGTTTCGTCTAGGACTGAAAGTCGATAGGGAAGCTAAAGGGTGAATAAAAGCATCGAAATACTCCCAGTATTTACAACGCATGAAGACTATCACGCTGCTTGGCTATTTCACATTGCCGTTGGCTCCTTGGTCACCACAAGAGAGCAAGTAAAAAAAAACTCAGCAACTCGACCGCCCTCTGCCTACAGGAGCTGAGCCCCGCCCGCAACAAAGGGCTACTTTGAGAGGCTATTTCAAGGAGAACAGAAATTGCACAATTCATGAAATCTTTCTTTGCAAAAAGAAGTCACAGGTAGACAAGGACGTGTGAGAAGACTAGGCCGCTTCATACCTTGCGTCACTGAAGAATAAGAGAAATTCAGAATCGGGGAATCAAACCGCGAACAGGAAAGTATACGCATCAATCCGTAGATCCAAAGAGCTACAGCTGCGGAAAAAAATTTCGAACAAGTCACAAAATCGCGTTTCACAGTTCCGAAGTTCTTATTCAACAGCAGAACAGTGGAAAAATAAGCAGACAGAGAGAATTTAACAAGAAAAAAAAATACTATTCAGCGCTTTGAATTTGGTTTGCTTACTACTGGATTTGATTAACCTTCATCATCCGTGGAATCGACTCCACAGGAGCTTCAGGGGTATCCACAGATATTCAACCCCGAATCCCCTAAAATGCATGGAACTGCTCACTCGTGTTGGTGCTCTTCTTCCCTTTGACTAATGCTTTAAGTCATCTCAGAGATGCCTGATAGGGTTGAGGTGAGGGCCTCTACTCGGTCATTTGGTCATCCTGATGCCGATCTTGGGTGCCGGAACCTAGATCTCACGTACTTTTGTGTTTGCTTAGGTCGTTTTTACTGATTTGAAAACAGTTCTTCCAGGCATACTTTATCTATATCCTCGATTTCGGTACACAGTCAAGAAAAATCAAAAAATAATTCAAAAGAAAATTTCGATATTTTGGCTTGTGCCAGGTTTTTTCCGCAACTGTACTTACAGATATCGAGTATAGGAGAATTCCCAAAGGACTGGATATATAGTGATTGACACTGCCCAGGTGAATAATCAGAGAACCGGATAATTGGAGCAAATGGAATGAATCCGTAATCTCTTACACTTGTGGATACTTCGATTTCAAGTAAGAGCGCAACTTCAAAGTGCGTTCCTAGTTCGAGAATGACCCTCGAATTCAAGTAACTGCGTCGTATGACGTCGTTGCTGTAGGCCTCGCAAATTCTTTGCGACAGTGAAAAATCGGAATATAGGTGAATACGCCCCAAAGGGGTAGATGGGAACCAACTCTCCAACTCTTCCCTATTCCATGATTCGCCTACTCTCTCATTTCGCCAACTCTATACTTTCCACCGGCAAAATTCTCCTCCTCTCCAACTCCTGTGCTCCTTTCCTCCAATGATCCAAAGTATCCGCATAATCTAAGCAGTGGACTGCTCCAATGGGGCTCCCGATCGACCACGCGCTTCGCTGATCACAGCGACCAGTCGCGAAGAATGAACGCACTTTCAACAAAGCACAAGCATCATGATCAGCGTCGTTACCAATAAAGTCAGTCGGGCGTTTCAGCCGCACGTGGGTTTTGGCACGGAGTCAGCTTCTTTACCATCTCTGACTGAGCATCCTCATCGATGGAATAGGGGGCTGGCGCTGCGCTAGAACCCATGCTTGCTGGCCCGCCCCGACTGACATCAATGAAATTCAGACAGGTGATGAGCCAGAAAATCAATGTTAAGATATTAAATCATACCTGAATAACTCAAAATGATGGCGGCTGAGTTATCAAAGTTTCTTCTATGAACAAAATCTAATATAGTTGAGATATCTAGATAAGAATTGAAAGGAGCCTGAAAAAGAAGGAAAATTGTTCGAGCACCCAGAAGAGAAAGGAGAACGGTACCTTTTTCAGCATTTCTTGAGTTATCTCTTCGAAACTTATATCACGATTCCTCCACCATAATTCTAACAAAATGAGACCAGGAAGGCGAAGTATCGTTTCCAATATTCTTACAGCTATTAATCGGCATATTCTTAGACTTTCATGAACTGGATCTTGATCGATTATGTCTGGAAGCGCTCCTCTACCCATTAACTCGTGTTCCTCCATGATCTTAAATAATTGCTTACAATAAAAAACTCTATAATTCTCATTGGCACTTGGACATACGTAGCGAGAGTGGAAATTAATCAAAGGCACCTTTCAAGCTGTCCTTCGTGAAAAGATAGTCCTAGCTCAAAATCTTTCGTATAATACAAGTACAGCTTACAAGTGAAGAAAAAAAAGCAGACCAGGCAGACACAGCCCTGAAGAAGCCCATCCTTTCTGTGTTTAGTTTTTAGCAATGAATGAGAAGTGAGGCGCAGAGACACTAGCGAGGGAGAAATCACAGGCAAAGCATGCGAGTGCACAATGCGTTTCGGGAGCAGTCTGCAGTTCGTCAGCGCTATAGTAGCCTGCAATTTCCGAGGAAGAAGAAGTTTTGGAATGAATCATTCATTACTTTGAGGAAGGTGGCCCACCCACCACTTGTGGTCTTCGGTCCCATCTCCCTTAAAATCATGAACTACTACCGCACTTACGCAAAATGACAAGATGTCAGCTCCCGAAGCACGGTTCACTAGATGCACGTACTTGGCTACTACGGGGAATTTATGAATTGAAATACTCCCTTGGCAAAAGTTGCGCGCAGCTCCTGGCGCGACCGCCCCGTCTCCACCATCCTAGTTACGCAATCTTCTCGCACCGAGTTATTTTTCCTTTCGCCAGGCCGACATGTCATATTCCTCACTCCTTTCCACAGCTCTGGACTTTCCTCCTTGAATAAATTGGGCACCTGAGCGCGGAGGAAAGGGTATGCATATACTTTGGAACAACGAAGAACAGCAGAAAGTTAGGCAGGAGCAACAACATTTTTAAAAAGGCATGTATGACTCCTCTCCTACCTCGGGCAGCATACAATTACACGAAACCTCCACCTGGAGATCCTCAATTTACGACGTCCCCTACTCCTCCCCACCATCCCCCCCCCCTACAATGTGGAACACATCTGCAAGTGTGAACTGGGCTGCTATGCAGGAGAAACGCATTTTACCTACACGCACGGCCGATGGAAATACGAAAAAGAGACCGGAATGAAACACAAATACGACGGCAGATTCATTCAGGTTCAACGACAGATGGGAAATCAAAGCAAAACAGGTGGGTGATTACGCGAGCCAAGAGTTGACGAAAATGCGAGTATCAGCTAGCAAAAAAAGGCATTACGGAAAGACGAAATTTAGAACCATCCAAGTGAAATTGACAGGATTCTTGACTGGACCAGCAATGAGCAAGCCTGCAATGCATCCTTAATTGCTAGCACAGCAAGCTTAACCAGCAAATGGTTTCACTAAAAACGGTTTAATACCTAGTTAGATTGATTGAAGTTAATGATATGATAAGACTGATCGCAATGTACTCCCTGTGGAAACAAGGTCAAGATAAAATGAACGGAATATCGTTCACAGTGTACAACTCGTTTATAATGAGCCGTACCTCGATTTTGAAGAAGTGGCTGATAAGACTTTGAGGATGCCCCTTCAGGCTCTTCAACCTCTATCTATAGTGAAAATTTCATGGATTTTTATGAAGTATACTGTCCAAGAGCTATGCAAAGTTCTTCAGTGGTCTTCTCATATAGAATGTCCTCATAGTTCGTGACGAATGCGCTTGTAATCGCTTAAAATGCTGGTAGGAACTGTTAATCGCACGAAGTGAACGTAATATAGAAACGTCATCTGCCTGCTGGAAGGGATTTCATTGACTTCAAATGCGGTTACATAAAAGTACTTAACGATAGTCCGTTCATATCACGACCCAATCACTTGGATCGCATTCGCTCCAGCGTTTGAAGCGCGTGTATTAACGCGGCCCAATTTAGATTCTGCCGTTGTGGCGGTCCACCGACTGGGAGTGGAGCGCCCTCGGCCGTGTCGCGCGCGATCCAGGCATTTCCGACTCGATCGCGTCATTGGATCGCGAAGTATAAACCCAAGATATACAAACAGAAATGAGCATCTTTTCCAACGAATAAATCGAACTGGAAAAATCCCTGTAGATTACAGTGACTCTATCTATCTATCTATCTCTCTTTACTATAGAGAAACATCGTAGAAGTATTAACGTCACAGTGCTGTTCGTTGCGAATGAAGGGGCGTGTAAGGCGGGAAGCGTTTGGCGCGGTGTTAAACGCGTTCTCGACTACCTACTGAAGCGGGTAAGCGACGATAGTTGTTGGAAAACGACTGATATGAACGATATAATGCAACGCTTGCTCTTCCAACCCTGGGGTCTAGCGCCGCGCCGAAAACATCCTGCCTGGCATGCCATTTCATCCACAGAGAACAACTCAGCGAGTGGTTTTAACGGTCCCAGAGAACTGAAGTAGCGCGCCTAGCGTACATCAAAGAAAAAAATGAAAGAAACAGAAAACATTATACATACAGAGAGGAGAGAACATGGAAAGTCAGTGCGCCAA